TATACACACACACACACACACACACAAATTGAATGCATAATTCAAGGAGGCAGGTTTCTGTGTTCTACCTCTAGCATTCAACAATGGCAAACATTATATACAACTCTTGGTACACTCATTATTAAAAATTCTTCAGAGAAGCTCAGTGCTGCAGCAATACTTTGAAAGTATAAATAGTCCTTGGTCATTCAAAGCTACAATGGTGCTGAATGAGGAGACGTATGGATGGTCCTCAAATTTATAGTCATCGCAGCATCCCTGCAGTCCACAGGATCACGATTTCAGACACTTGGCAACCAACTTGCAGTTACAATGATCACAGCATCCTGCAGTCACACAATTACCATTTTCAATCTTCTGTAAAGCAAAGTCAATGGGGAAGCCCGCAGGAGGTCACAGATGGGCAATCATGTGACTTCTTGCCTGGCAAGAGCAACAACTGTCATCATAAGTAGATACAGTCATGTGACATCACACTTTACAACTAAATTTCTTAGTAACAGCGTTCCCAGTCCTAGTTTAAGTTGTTTATTCTCAGCTTTGAGCGGTCATTAAACAAATGGTTATTAGTCAAGCATGATAATATAGCAATGCATAAGATAAATAAATAAATAAGATGCAATAATAATTTATGTAAAAACAATAAAACGCTAACCCAATCATTCTAACATTTACCAGAAAAGCTTCCTTTCAACCAATTACCAGAATGTCATCAGGTTGGGTATCAACCTAAGTGCAAGCTGGAAGCAACTTCATAAATAAAAGCCTCTCCCAAAAACTCCTTTTGCAGGCTTTAGGTCTTCATGCAACATAAGAATTGGAAAACCAATGCTAACCTTTCCCAGGGGAATTTATTAGACATATTGACTCTGGTTGGAGATACTTAGGATCCAAACCAAACCTTTACAGGTTAACATCAGTATTTTCAGTCGTATCCGAAGATCTAGTGGAAGCCAATGAAGGCCTGTAGCAAAGATCTTACATCAGTGTGGTGGCTTTCACTCAATAAATGGGTTGCTGTTCTTTTACCAACCGCTGTTTCTCCAGCAGCACTGAGCAGCACACTGCAGTAGTCTAACTGGGTGGAGATGAAGACTTGAGCTACCTTAGCCAACATCTGGACTGCATAGAAGTGCTTTTTAACAATTAGTCCCATTTGTAAGCCACTTCTTTCTCTCTTGCTTCCTTCTATTGTGTAGAGCAGTGGTCCCCAACCTTTTGGGCACCAGGGACTGGTGCTGTGGAGAGAGGTTTTTCCACAGACTGGAAGGGGGCATGGCTTCGTGTGCTGCCTACATCCTGCGGATGAGACTTCGCTTGTTTGCACAGGCCAGTTTCTGGCATGCCATGGCCCGGTGTCGGTCCACGGATTGGGCCCCTGGTGTAGAGAGCCAAGAAATCTTTGTTCATCCTGGAGTCCTCTCTCATTAATGAAAATCTTTTCTAGCGATGACCCTGCCCTGCAGAAGGTTTTTAAAAGCAAGGTGAAATGTCAAACTTTGCTGAAGCAAAATCCTTGCTGAAGAAGAAAGAGGAGGAGGGCAAAATAAATGTCAAGCAAAAAAGTAATATGTCTTGATCTCCTTTTTCCCATAAAACCTTGGAGGCTAGTGGAAGGAGTGGAAAGGCTGAACTAAGCCTGCAGGAAATTAAACATGAAATGAAAATAAGCTAAAGCCATTCGGCTCTCTTATCCCAAGCTCAAATTTCCCATTCCAAGCCACTGATAAAATGGTGTCCAGTTTCAATGATTAAAGATGAATTCTGGCTCTTTTCCTGTACTCAAACAAGAGAACAACAAAGCTCTTGCCCTCTAAAGGAAAGGGAAGGATAAACTGGATGAAAAGCAGGGCTATGGAACTCTTTGAAAGAGTCAGATGAGGCAAGAAACAGCGATGATGAGAAAGAGCCTGATGTGTGGGTGTGGGAATGTTTTTGTGTGAGTGACAACCCACTTGGAGTATGTTAGGGAAGAACCACAAGTTAAGAGTCAGAAAGTAAAACAGAACTATATATATATGTCGATATTCCTGCATTAAATACGGTTCTTTTTTTACCAAAAATGATACCACCGATGTACAAAGGGAAAGTTCTAACAAGCTTGAAATTCATTTTTCAGTGAAACTTTTAGGAACAGATGTTTGTTCCTTTTATAGTCCAGGCAAAGTTTATCAGGGCCATAAGTATTTTTTTAAAAACAAACCTTTACTAAAAACTAAACTAAAAAGTGGGAAGAACAGAGCAAAAAGAATCTAGCCTGTCAAGTGATCTTCTTGGATTAATCTTCTTGGGTTGTTTTCTTTTTATTCCCCTCTGCTGGAGGAAAACAGCATATTCCAGTGTTTTTCAATCTTCGCAACTTTAAGTTCTCTGGACTTCAACTCCCAAAATTCCCCAGCTAGCAGGCTTGGTAATGGTTCGTGGTTCTCTTACTTAAAGCCTAAATTGTTTATAATTGTGGTAGCAGTAACAATAGTAGAAACATCATACCTTCCAAGTTATGGAAATTCTATAGCAATCTAATTAAACGGTGTTCTCTACCACATGAAGTACTGTCAATCTTTTTTGTAAATAATTCTCCCATTTATCTAAATCAAAGAGAAAAAGTAGCCAATTTAAAGTGGGTGGCAATAACTTAGTCAACTTGGATTGATCTCAAAAAGGGAGAGGATAATAGGAAGTCAAGACTCAAATTCAACTTGAAAGAAACATTGTTATTAAAAGGGGGAGGGGTTCATACACCTGATGAAAGATTTTCTGCCAGAACCAATTTTCCTCCACAAATTTGGGAAATGGCATGTGGAAAATATTAAGGTTTCCCCCACTATTAGGTACCAGGGCTAATTAATTCCACTCTCTCTAAGACTGTTGATGAAGCAACTAAGACATAATATGATGTCACATAAAGTCCATATTATGGGGGGAAGTAAACATTGGTGATCTGTTCTAAGTAGCAGTTGTAATTGTCATAATATAATTGTCTTTCCATAATATAGTATACAGTTATATTCAATGGTAATGTCCATCTTCTTGCTATTTTAGATACAGTATCTTCATTAGCATTGTGAGCCTTTTGATGCATATGGAAAATGGCTTCCTTTCTTTCTCATGTGGAAGGGGAAAGAGTTTAGAAAGAAAGTGTCCTAAAACGAAGTAAGGGGGTATACTTTGATGGCTGAACACATCAGTGCTGGGAGGACAAAAATCACACCAGACAGGATAATGGCACAAAGTGGAAAGGACTAGCGGAGAATTACCTCTTCCTATTTTTTTCCTGTTGGGATGGAAATTCCATTGCTTTTAAAAACTGTGTTCAACCTTTTTTAGGTCATATAGTGGCTTTTATTTTTGCTGAATTAGTGCAAGGGCTGAATTCCAAAAGTCCAGCCATAACTTCTTGCAATCACAGAAAAATGTAGGTGCTATATGAAGCCATTCCTTGGAAGGTTGCTCCTTTACTCCTCCCTAAACTACATATATAAAGAGCTGTAATGGCATGGTGGTGGTATCAATGGTGGGATTCAGCTGGTTCACACTGGTTTGGGTTAACCGGTTATTAAATTACCACCACCATCCCGTTATCAAAATGGATCCTGGGCACTGCACTGCAATGGAGAAATGGGTTTCTCTACTGTAGCGCAGCACTCAGGATCCACTTTGATAGCGGGGGGAGATTTAACAATTAGTTTGCCCAGGGTCAGGTTGGCTGTTGCAGGAGGCTCATTCCACAAA